GGGCGTCGGTCAGGCGGCCAAAGCAGCGGCGGGCTGTGTGGGCGCCTCCACACCTCTCCCCTGCACGGTCACCTGTGCGAAGAACGTAGGGGCAGGACCAAGCGCAGCCACCCACGCTGACGCTGCAAGTACCACTCACGGAGCTGCTGAGGGCCGGGGACGTGCGAGAGCGCTGCTGCTGTGCTGTGGCTGCTGCTGCGGCTGCTGCTGCTGCTGCTGCTGCTGCTGGCGCTGACCACCCCCAGAGCTGCTCCGCTGGACGAGCCACTCCGACCCCCGCCTCCACCGCCACCCCCAGCCTCCACCGCCACCCTCGTCTCCACCGCCACCTCCCCCACCAGGACCGTCGCTCCCACCGCTCCCACCGCCTCCTCCGCTACCACCTCCGCCGCCACCCCATCCTCCGCCTCCACGCCGCCACAGTACCTCCACTCCCGCCACCACCCCACCGCCACCCCCTACTCCCCCCGCCACCCCCCCCGCCTCCTCCACCGCCCCCTCTAGTTCCACCCGCTCCCTTGCCCCCTTTGCGCCCTTGCCAGAGCGGCGTCTGCCGCTGGGGGCAGACGCCGCGCCGACCGACTCAAAACCAGTGAGGTCGGCGCAGCGGCAGAGGCGACAGAGGGCAGCAGGGGGGAAGGACCACACCCCTCAAAGATGGGGGTGCGAGGGTCACCCCGAGAGGCCCCTACAGCGACAATACTCTTCTCAGCCGCTAGCAGGACTCCTCAAGGAGATCGACAGTGAGAGTGGTGGGACAGACAGAGAGAAACTGGTCCCTAACGGCACGAGGGACTTCAGGGAGACGGGTGACGAGAAAGTAGAGAGTGATGTACAATGTAGGAGGGTTCGCAGCGCGGAACTCAGCAGGAAGGGCAGCGCGGTAAGCGGTGTCACTAGCACGGAGGTGGGTAACGAGGGTCAGCAACAGTGGGAAAGAGGCGAGGTCAGGGAAGAGAAACGGTTAGCATGAGTGCGGCTAAGGGTAGCGGAGGAAGGGAGGAGTAGCGTGCAACTACAGCGTCGTACATAGGCCTGAGCGGTCTTGCACTGACTAAAGTGGGCACGCTCAGAGGAAGGGAGGTGGCGACGCACAGCAAGACGTGCAGCAGCATCGCGGTCGCCCACTTGGAGCGAACGGCAGAGTCAGCATCAGCAGGTGGGGCAGGGACAGCGCCAAGATACAAGTCAAAGAGAGAGACCTCATCTATCGCATCACAGAGTAAGTAACAGGCTGTAGGTCTTCAATCCAGAGACGGCAAAGTCCAATGGCCCTCCCCTCAGCGTCAAACGTAAGACATTGGGGTGGCCATGGCAGCAGCTGAAAGTCTCACGTGTGCTGGGAGAGTCGGGTAGTGCAGCAGCAGACGGAACACAGCTCAGGGACAGCGGCACGGCTCGGGCGGCTCGGGTTGCTGGGGCGGCGCGGGCGGCTCGGGCGGGCTCGGGCGGCTCGGGCGGCTCGGGCGGCTCGGGCGGCTGGGGCGGCTCGGCGGCTCGCGCAGGCTCGGGCGGCTCAGGCGGCTCGAGCGGCTCGGGTTGTTGGGGCGGTGCGGGCGGCTCGGGCTGCTGGGCTGTACAGGCGGCTCGTGCGGCGCTGGTGTCGCGACGGGCGGCTCACTGGCGGCTCGCGGCGGCTGCACAGGCGGCTCAGGGACGGCGGCCGGGCGGCTCAGGGAGCTCACGGGCGGCTGCGACGGGCGGCTCGCGGGCGTCGGGCGCTAGGGCGTTGGGGCGACGGCGGGCGGCGCGCTCAGGCGTTCGGGCGGGCGGCCGTAGGGTGAAAGGGCGGGCGGCGCTCGGGCGCTAGGGCGGGCGGCCGGCCGTCAGGGCGCTCGGGCGAGTGGCGCACGGGCGCTAGGGCGGCGGGCCGTCAGGGCGCTAGGGCGAGCCGGCGCTCGGCGCTAGGGCGGGTGGCCGTCAGGGCTCTAGGGCGGGCGGCGCTCGGGGCGATAGGGCGGGCGGCGCTCGGGCGCTAGGGCGGGCGGCGCTCGGCGCTAGGGCGGGCGGCGCTCGGCGCTAGGGCGGGCGGCGCTCGGGCGCTGGGGCGGGCGGCCGTCAGGGCGCTAGGGCGGGCGGCCGTCAGGGCGCTAGGGGCGGTTGGCGCTCGGGCGCTAGGGCGGACGGCCGTCAGGGCGCGCTAGGCGGGCGGTCGTCAGGGCGCTAGGGCGGGCGGCCGTCAGGGCACTAGGGCGGGCGGCCGTAAGAGAGGGGAGCAGCGGAGCGCGACGGTAGGGGCGACACGCAGGGTCGCTAAAAAAAAGAGCGCGCGCCTCGGGGCGCGCTTCGGTGGGCCCTAGGAACAGTCCCTAGGAGGGGACCTGCTCTGATTCCATGAGAAGAATTAACGAGAATGAAATGAGTATGAACGAAGTGAGTACAAATAGGAAACCCTAATTGTGTTGTATCCCCTATGGGATACCCCACTATAGCCTACACAAACAAGTAAGCTTATGTTCTGACAGCTAGGCCCTTGTTCTTGCAATTTTGCACATGCTAGGCCCTTGTTCTTTTTATTTTGCAGACGCTAGGCCCTTGTTCTTGCTATTTTGCACAGGCTATGCCTTTGTTCTTTTTATTTTGCACACGCTAGGCCCTTGCTCTTGCTATTTCGTGAACGCTAGGCCCTTGTTCTTGATTTTTTGCACACGCTAGGCCCTTGCTCTTGCTATTTTGCACTCGCTAGGCCCTTGTTCTTGCAATTTTGCACACGGTAGGCCCTTGTTCTTGCAATTTTGCACATGCTAGACCCTTGTTCTTGAAATTTTGCACACGCTAGGCCCTTGTTCTTACTATTTCACGAACGCTAGGCCCTTTGTTCTTGATTTTTTTGCACACGCTAGGCCCTTGCTATTGCTATTTTGCACTCGCTAGGCCCTTGTTCTTGCAATTTTGCACACGCTAGGCCCTTGTTCTTGCAATTTTGCACACGCTAGGCCCTTGTTCTTGCAATTTTGCACACGCTAGGCCCATGTTCTTTTTATTTTGCACACGCTAGGCCCTTGTTCTTGCTATTTTGCACACGCTATGCCCTTGTTCTTTTTATTTTGCACACGCTAGGCCCTTGTTCTTGCAATTTCGCACATGCTAGACACTTGTTCTTTTTATTTTGCACACCCTAGGCCCTTGTTCTTGCTATTTCGCGAACGCTAGGGCCCTTGTTCTTGATTTTTTGCACACGCTAGGCCCTTGCTCTTGCTATTTTGCACTCGGTAGGCCCTTGTTCTTGCAATTTTGCACACGCTAGGCCCTTGTTCTTGCAATTTTGCACACACTAGGCCCTTGTTCTTATTTTTTTGCACACACTAGGCCCTTCTTCTTTTTATTTTGCACACGCTAGGCCCTTGTTCTTGCAATTTTGCACACGCTAGACCCTTGTTCTTCTTATTTTGCAGACGCTAGGCCCTTGTTCTTGCTATTTTGCACAGGCTATGCCTTTGTTCTTTTTATTTTGCACACGCTAGGCCCTTGCTCTTGCTATTTCGTGAACGCTAGGCCCTTGTTCTTGATTTTTTGCACACGTTAGGCCCTTGCTCTTGCTATTTTGCACTCCCTAGGCCCTTGTTCTTGCAATTTTGCACACGCTAGGCCCTTGTTCTTTTTATTTTGCACACGCTAGGCCCTTGTTCTTGCTATTTTGCACACGCTATGCCCTTGTTCTTTATATTTTGCACACTGCTTGGCCCTTGTTCTTGCAATTTTGCACATGCTAGACCCTTGTTCTTTTTATTTTGCACACGCTAGGGCCCTTGCTCTTGCTATTTCGTGAACGCTAGGCCCTTGTTCTTTATTTTTTGCACATGCTAGGTCCTTGCTCTTGCTATTTTGCACTCGCTAGGCCCTTGTTCTTGCAATTTGCACACGGTAGGCCCTTGTTCTTGCAATTTTGCACATGCTAGACCCTTGTTCTTGCAATTTTGCACACGCTAGGCCCTTGTTCTTGCTATTTCACGAACGCTAGGCCCTTGTTCTTGATTTTTTTGCACACGCTAGGCCCTTGCTCTTGCTATTTTGCACTCGCTAGGCCCTTGTTCTTGCAATTTTGCACACGCTAGGCCCTTGTTCTTGCAATTTTGCACACGCTAGGCCCTTGTTCTTGCAATTTTGCACACGCTAGGCCCATGTTCTTTTTATTTTGCACACGCTAGGCCCTTGTTCTTGCTATTTTGCACACGCTATGCCCTTGTTCTTTTTATTTTGCACACGCTAGGCCCTTGTTCTTGCAATTTTGCACATGCTAGACCCTTGTTCTTTTTATTTTGCACACGCTAGGCCCTTGTTCTTGCTATTTCGCGAACGCTAGGCCCTTGTTCTTGATTTTTTGCACATGCTAGGCCCTTGCTCTTGCTATTTTGCACTCGCTAGGCCCTTGTTCTTGCAATTTTGCACACGCTAGGCCCTTGTTCTTGCAATTTTGCACATGCTAGGCCCTTGTTCTTTTTATTTTGCACACGCTAGGCCCTTGTTCTTTTTATTTTGCACACGCTATGCCCTTGTTCTTTTTATTTTGCACACACTATGCCGTTGTTCTTTTTATTTTGCACACGCTAGGCCCTTGTTCTTGCTATTTCGCGAACGCTAGGCCCTTGTTCTTGATTTTTTGCACACGCTAGGCCCTTGCTCTTGCTATTTTGCACTCGCTAGGCCCTTGTTCTTGCAATTTTTGCACACGCTAGGCCCTTGTTCTTGCAATTTTGCACAAGCTAGGCCCTTGTTCTTTTTAATTTACACACGCTAGGCCCTTGTTCTTTTTATTTTGCACACGCTAGGCCCTTGTTCTTGCTATTTTGCACGCGCTATGCCCTTGTTCTTTATATTTTGCACACGCTTGGCCCTTGTTCTTGCAATTTTGCACATGCTAGACCCTTGTTCTTTTTATTTTGCACACGCTAGGCCCTTGCTCTTGCTATTTCGTGAACGCTAGGCCCTTGTTCTTGATTTTTTGCACACGCTTGGCCATTGCTCTTGCTATTTTGCACACGCTAGGCCCTTGTTCTTGCAATTTTGCACATGCTAGGCCCTTGTTCTTTTTTTTTTTTCCACACGCTAGGCCCTTGTTCTTTTTATTTTGCACACGCTAGGCCCTTGTTCTTGCTATTTTGCACACGCTAGGCCCTTGTTCTTTTTATTTTGCACACGCTAGGCCCTTGTTCTTGCTATTTTGCACACGCTATGCTCTTGTTCTTTTTATTTTGCACACGCTAGGCCCTTGTTCTTGCAATTTTGCACATGCTAGGCCCTTGTTCTTTTTTTTTTTCCACACGCTAGGCCCTTGTTCTTTTTATTTTGCACACGCTAGGCCCTTGTTCTTGCTATTTTGCACACGCTATGCCCTTGTTCTTTTTATTTTGCACACCCTAGGCCCTTGTACTTGCTATTTCGCGAACGCTAGGCCCTTGTTCTTGATGTTTTGCACACGCTAGGCCCTTCCTCTTGCTATTTTGCACTCACTAGGCCTTTGTTCTTGCAATTTTGCACATGCTAGGCCCTTGTTGTTGCAATTTTGCACACGCTAGGCCCTTGTTCTTTTCATTTTGCACACGCTAGGCCCTTGTTCTTTTTATTTTGCACACGCTAGGCCCTTGTTCTTGCAATTTTGCACATGCTAGGCCCTTGTTCTTGCAATTTTGCGCATGCTAGACCCTTGTTCTTTTTATTTTGCACACGCTCGGCCCTTGCTCTTGCTATTTCCCGAACGCTAGGCCCTTGTTCTTGACTTTTTTGCACACGCTAGGCCCTTGCTCTTGCTATTTTGCACTCGCTAGGCCCTTGTTCTTGCAATTTTGCACACGCTAGGCCCTTGTTCTTGCAATTTTGCACACGCTAGGCCCTTGTTCTTTTTAATTTGCACACGCTAGGCCCTTGTTCTTGCTATTTTGCACAGGCTATGCCTTTGTTGTTTTTATTTTGCACACGCTATGCCCTTGTTCTTTTTTTTTTTAACACGCTATGCCCTTGTTCTTTTTATTTTGCACACGCTATGCCCTTGTTCTTGCAATTTTGCACATGCTAGACCCTTGTTCTTGCAATTTTGCACACGCTAGGCCCTTGTTCTAACAATTTTGCACACGCTAGGCCCTTGTTCTTGATTTTTTGCACATGCTAGGCCCTTGCT